TGACAAAATAGGATTTGCAAGTGGATTTGAAACCCCCATGTGGGTGGTCTAAGATATTTTTTTAGCAGTAGCAGTGATAAGTGTTAATTTATTAACTTTATTACATCATTTTCTTAACCATTTTCCTTTGTTTTATTTGCCCATTAGTGTCTTAGTTGAGTCTTTTTATGTCATTTTCATATATTTGTGGTAATATAACATATCTAATGTTAATTCTCTATTTATGCAGGTTTTGATGATTTTTGGGCCAAATCCTACAGCAGTCCTGTAAGAGCAGGAGTGGCAGAATCCTGTAGTACTTGTCCGTGAACTGCACCTTTGCCTGGGCCGAAAATTCTTGGGCTGCTCCTTAGTAGATGCGTGGTCAACGACCTTAGGCCCGGTCAAACCCATTTTTAAGAGCCTTTTGTCTTATTAGGTGGCTCTCATTGTATAAACTCCCTTAGCCTATAAATAGAGGCTTAAGGCTTTTGTTTTTCACACTTTTACTTAACTTCTTATTTGTTTATTCTCAAATATTTGAGTTATAAACATTTGCTCTCTAGATTATTGTTTTTGGTTTCAAGCTTTCGGTTTTCTTGCCTCCAACCAAGAACCGACTTTTGTGAAGTGTGATTTCGTTCTCAAGTTTAATTCAAGTGCTCGTATTTAATCTTCATCTCATTTCTGCTTTTATTCCCAAGTTACGTTACATTTTCTGACTTTCGTTGCAAGTTACGAATTAGTCGATCGTTGTTGCTTTACATTGGATTTCATCCTTTGTGGCTCACGACTAATTTACGTAGACTAAATAATTTGTTTTTAAGAGTTTGCAAGTAACCTTTTCAGACTTAGTAACGAAACTTGTTTTGCAAGTTTTGTTACTTGCCTTGCAAGTTTCCTCAAAGTCAAACTTCCCTTTTTTTAAGGCTTTCATTAGTCACTTCTCCATCTCATCATGTACTTGTTTTACATCATTACCTAGATTAATGTTATTTAATAATATTTAGTTATTAATAATTTAATTTCAGTCTTTTACATTTCAGTCTTTTATATTTCAGTCTTTTACATTTCTGCATTTTACTTTACTGCAATTTACTTTTCCGTCATTTAATTTCCAGCAATTTACTTTCAGCCATTTATATTTCTGTCATTTAATTTCCAGTACTTTAAATTCCAGTATTTCCATTTCTTGTAATTTACTTTCTGCAATTTACTTTCTGCAATTAGTTTCTACAATTTACTTTTCCGTATCAGTTATTTATTTTTCAGTCCTTACATCATTCGACAGAAAAAACCGAGCGATGATGGGCTAACGCCTTAGCTTGAGGTGTAACGGGAAATTAAGACCAAATCCGATGTGAAAGTACAAAGGTGTCTTATTAGCATTATAGTCTACTATTTATTTCAGGTGCTTAATATTTTATTTGATGATTACATTAAAATTAATTGACAACTAATTTTGTGTATAAAAATGTATTGACTTTCAAAACCTGAGATAATAGGAGAAGGCTATAAATAACTTTAGTGTCTGACAAATGCTATACTCCTACGGTGTAGGATGGTAACACTGTGTTGTGCTAGGATTCACGACGTCTAACATAAATGATATCGTATCGATAGCACGTTGATCGGTGTGTGCTCTTGGGAGGCCGTCTGACCCGATAGTTGATACTGTCGTAGTTATATAAAATCATTTATTGATTTTAGATAATTATGATAGGAATGCTATGTCACCTTTTTGCTGAATCATTTGTTTAATGTCTTAATCAATTGTTGCAACATGTGCTTCTTCTTAAGACTGATATTTTCCTTAGTTGTTAATCAAACCTCCCAATTTTAGATAAATCAAATCCCTCGTTTCGCCATCTGAAACTAGTTTTTTATAAACTGGACTTTTGAAGAACTTTACAAGCTATCTCTGTGGGAACGATATCTGGTACTTATACCATTATTACTTGTTACGAGACGACAGTAGTTCGAGGTGTATACTTGCGTCGAGTTCTATTTTTGTGTTGAAATCTAAGGTTGAATAAACCGACGAGCAAGTTTTTGGCACCGCTGCCGAGGATAACACGCTAAAGTTTTTCTTTTAAAGTAAAGTTTGTAAAAGCTGATTTTTCTACCACCTGTTACTATTATGGAGAACATCATACATATTGTTGATTCTCGGGATAAAGGAATCATGGACTATGCTATTCCTGTTTTTAGTCATTTAAATTCAGGAATACTAAGGCCACAAATTAAGGCAACTCACTTTGAGCTCACACCTGTCATGTTTCAGATGTTGCAGACTAATGGCCAGTTCAGTGGTTTGCCATCTGAAGACCCTCATTTACACTTACAATCTTTAATAGTAATAACTTATTGTTTTCTTATCCCTGGAGTGTCTGATGATGCCTTAAGGCTGAAGTTGTTTCCATTTTCTCTTAGGGTTAGAGCAAAATTATGGCAACCAAATTCCTTAATCTCTTTAAATGACCTTGTAAAGAAATTTTTGAGAAAATATTTTCCTCCCAATAGGAACGCTGAATCCATAAATGAAATATGTTTGTTTAGGCAAATGGATAATGAAGCAACACCTGATGCTTGGGAAAGGTACAAAGAGTTGTTGAGAAAATGCCCTTACCATGGCATTCCTTACTGTATCCAGCTAGAGACGTTTTACAATGGTTAACAACTGTTGTTAAGCAAATGCTTGATGCTACCGTAGGAGGAGCTTTCACAACTTGTACTTATAATGATGGGTATGACATGCTTGAGAAAAAAATAATAATGGATATTGGGCTGATCCACATGCATTAATACAAAATAATACAGTTGGGATACATGAAACAGATGCATATAATGCATTTACAACACAACTCACATCTATAACTGACATGATTGAGAATATGAATGTTAGCCCAGATGTGCGAACTGTTGATGCAACATCGTATCCTACTGTCAATTCTATAGCATGTATGTTATGTGGAGGAGATCATCCATTTGATCAATGTGCATCTAACCCAGAGTCAGTTAATTTTTTTGAAAATCAAAACAGGGGTTGTTCTGATTCACAAGCTTATAATGCAGGGTGGCAACAACACCTAAGTTTTTTCTAGAATGCTCCAACCTTGAATAAACCTGTTGGTTTCCAACAACAACATCAAAGTGATTCCTACAATCACCAACCCATTTTTTACCAACAACACCCTACCCAGCCGATTTTCAACAAGCAAACAAGTTTTCAACAACAAAGTCATCAACCCTCTTTCCAAGATACAACACATCAGCCTGTTGATTCATCTACTTCTTTGGAAGCAATGATGAAAGGGTTCATAACCCAAACTCAGACTTCAATCAGAAACCTTTAAAAATAGGTTGGACAAGTAGCTTTGGAAATGAGACAAAGACCGATAGGTTTTCTATCCAGTGATACAGAGACACCTTAGAGAGAAGGAAAAGAGCATGTCAAGGTTGTGACATTGAGGAGTAATAAGACTTTAATAGAAAATCCCCAAAAAAAACAAAAAGAACCAAGTAAAGCAGAGATTGAAAAGAAAAGTGTAGTACAAGATTCTGTTACCTCTGTACCAGATTTTGTGACTACCATTCATGTGAACCATTCAGAGAGTACTAGTGAGCCTCAACCCATAGTTAAGCCCATTGATATCACAACCATTCTAGAAAGATCAGAAGTTCTGTTGTTATTTCCTGATGAACCCAAGACAATCCAGACTCCCAAAGAGAATATTGTAATGGATGTGTCATAATCTGGTGGCAGTCCCACAATAGTTGTCGAGACCAGTCCTATAATCCCTTGTAGAACTGAATTAGAATCCATTATAGAACCACCTTTGAACACCATTTCAGCACTTACTCTTCAAAAGACTACTCCTACTGCAGTCACTTCTTATATTCCTTATCCCCAAAGGTTAAGGAATCAAAAGGAAAAATTACAATTTAGAAAATTTCTTGATGTTTTTAAACAGTTACATATAAACATACCTTTGGTGGAGGCTGTTGAGCAGATGCCAAGTTATGTAAAGTTTCAAAAAGACATTTTGAGTAAAAAGAAAAAGTTGACTGAGTATGAGACAGTAGCTCTGACTGAAGGGTGTAGTGTTTTGTTGTCCAGTAAAATCCCTTCTAAGTTGAAAGATCTTGGAAATTTTACAATCCCTTGTTCAATTGGAGGAAAAGAGATAGGAAAAGCTCTATGTGACTTAGGTGCTAGTATAAACCTGATGCCTTTATCTGTCTTCAATACCCTAGGCATAGGTGAAGCTAGACCTACAACTGTGACTCTACAATTAGCTAATAAGTTCATAGCCTATCCTAAAGAAAAAATTGAGGATGTCCTAGTTCAGGTTGATAAGTTTATTTTCCCAGCTGATTTTATCATCCTAGACTTTAAAGCTGACAAGGACATTCCCACTATCTTAGGAAGACCTTTCCTAGCTACTGGAAGAACCCTGATAGATGTACAGAAGGGAGAGTTAACCATAAGAGTCCAAAATCAAAAAGTGACTTTTAATATTTTTAATTCCCTTAGGTACCCTGATGGGAGTGACGAATGTTCCCATATTTGTTCCATTAAATCTTCAACTCATGAGAAAAGAGTAAAGGACATATAGAGGAAAGGATTGAAGCATAAGTGGAGAGAGAAATATTCTAACAAGCTGCTCCAACTATGAGATATCCCAACCTCAGTCCTACAACCGTATTCTAACTCTCCTACTCAATCTGAGTAGGACAGGTTCTGCCTTCTTACCATACTCTGTGTTTTTATGTTTAACTTGTGTTTCTTTATTTGTTGTTTTAAAATATGTCAATGTCAGCATTGTTGTGGTCATAAGAGATAGTCCCTCTCTTATATGTTTTTGTGTCGTTTTCATTTAAGATGATCATACCATGCTTATGCTTGATTATCTTTGCTTTTCTATTTCAATTGTGCTTAGCTTTGAGTCATTTTATTTTTAAAATGATCAAGTCACACTTGTGACTAATCATCTTTGCTTTTTTGTTTCAATTTTGGATTTTGGGCACTGATTTTAAGTAGCATTTTTTTTTTGCCATTTATGAACCAAAAATAGAATAAATGATGAATTTGTTGTATAAATGTTTGAACTTGATGCCATAGCCACAATAATCCAAAGCTTAAACCATCTTTGTCTTAAATTGAGCCTTTAGAACTAGCCAAGCATTTCCAAAGCTTTTACTTGATTCAATTGGGCTTTCATTTCAATTTGGCCAATTTGTAGCCTTGTTACACTCACAATGAGGACATTGTTTCCCTTAGCCAAACTTAAGTTTGCATCAAGACCAAAAGACAAACAAAGGAACATAGTTCCATGTCTTGTGCATACAAAAGAGTGTCAAAGTACACYAGAATGTTTGAAAAGGACCAAAGTGTCCAAAATACCTCAATATGAGATGCAAAGCAGTAAAATTGTGCTATGGAGTGAAAAAGTGAGATGAGGTAAAAGACATGTATTGAAAAGAAAAAACCAATTGAAAAACCCAATTCAAAGTTCCAAACTATCTGTTGAATCTAGTATAACAATAGAAATGTAGGCTAGCTTATGGTTTGGCAATATCCAAGCCCATTTTTGAAGAGCCTTTTGTCTTATTAGGTGGCTCCCATTGTACAAACTCCCTTAGCCTATAAATAGAGGCTTAAGGCTTTTGTTTTTCACACTTTTACTTAACTTCTTATTTGTTTATTCTCAAATATTTGAGTTATAAACATTTGCTCTCTAGATTATTGTTTTTGGTTTCAAGCTTTCGGTTTTCTTGCCTCCAACCAAGAACCGACTTTTGTGAAGTGTGATTTCGTTCTCAAGTTTAATTCAAGTGCTCGTATTTAATCTTCATCTCATTTTTGCTTTTATTCCCAAGTTACGTTACGTTTTCTGACTTTCGTTGCAAGTTACGAATTAGTCGATCGTTGTTGCTATACATTGGATTTCATCCTTTGTGGCTCACGACTAATTTACGTAGACTAAATAATCTATTTTTAAGAGTTTGCAAGTAACCTTTTCAGACTTAGTAACGAAACTTGTTTTGCAAGTTTTGTTACTTGTCTTGCAAGTTTCCTCAAAGTCAAACTTCCCTTTTTTCAAGGCTTTCATTAGTCACTTCTCCATCTCATCATGTACTTGTTTGACATCATTACCTAGATGAATGTTATTTAATAATATTCAGTTATTAATAATTTAATTTCAGTCCTTTACATTTCAGTTCTTTACATTTCAGTCTTTTATATTTCAGTCTTTTACATTTCTGCATTTATTTTACTGCAATTTACTTTTCCGTCATTTAATTTTCAGCAATTTACTTTCAGTCATTTATATTTCTGTCATTTAATTTCCAGTACTTTAAATTTCAGTATTTCTATTTCTTGTAATTTACTTTCTGCAATTTACTTTCTACAATTTACTTTTCCGTATCAGTTATTTATTTTTCAGTCCTTACATCCTTCGAGAGAAGAAACTGAGCGATGATGGGCTAACGCCATAGCTTGGGGTGTAACGGGAAATTAAGACCAAAATCGATGTGAAAGTACAAAGGTGTCTTATTAGCATTATAGTCTACTATTTATTTCAGGTGCTTAATATTTCATTTGATGATTATATTAAAATTAATTGACAACTAATTTTGTGTATAAAAATGTATTGACTTTCAAAACCTGAGGTAATAGGAGAAGGTTATAAATATCTTTAGTGTCTGACAAATGCTATACTCCTACGGTGTAGGATGGTAACACTGTGTTGTGCTAGGATTCACGATGTCTAGCATAAATGATATCGTATCGATAGCACGTTGACCGGTGTGTGCTCTTGGGAGGCCGTCTGACACGATAGTTGATACTGTCGTAGTTATATAAAATCATTTATTGATTTTAGATAATTATGATGGGAATGTTATGTCACCTTTTTGCTTAATCATTTGTTTAATGTCTTAATCAATTGTTGCACCATGTGCTTCTTCTTAAAACTGATTTTTTCCTTAATTGTTAATCAAACCTCCCAATTTTATATAAATCAAATCCCTCGTTTCGTCATCTGAAACTAGTTTTTATAAACTGGACTTTTGAAGAACTTTACAAGCTATCTCTGTGGGAACGATATCTGATACTTATACCATTATTACTTGTTACGAGACGACAGTAGTTCGAGGTGTATACTTGGGCCGAGTTCTATTTTTGTGTTGAAATCTAAGATTGAATAAACCGACGAGCAAGTAGCAATGACATTTACTTCCATGTTAATCTTTGACTTCTTTTTATTTCAACTCCCATCTAATACCTTCTTAAGAGATTAGTGGCTATGCTTCAACTTCTAAATGCAGTATATCATTATCTAGGCTTTAAAAATGATGAATCCGGATGCACACATGTCTGATTGGACCGAGGCAAGACCATGAACCTTCTTTCAAATTCATATGAAGTCAGCAGTGAAAGATGATTCATGTAATGACAATTAGAATCTTTTCTTTTTCTAAATAGATATGAAAGAGCTGCACAATGGTTTACTATTACAATTCATCATTTGACCACATAATTCATTAGGTTATGGATTTCCTTAATCCAATTGCAATCAACCAGGTCAATGTCTGCGTAGTCTTACATGTTTTAATTTTAGTAATTAACTCCAAGGGGTTGTTAAAAAGCAATTATCTCCCAATGCCACATTTAACTCCAAATTAAAATCAATAGTTTTATTTTACCGACTGCCATTACAACTGGATTGCATTGTTTCACCTACTAGAATAGATGTGACAGAGCTGCATAACTGTCCTCTGTGGAAAAGTATTTGTATCACAAAGCACAATAAGAAACCGAAGAGAATAAGTTTGAATATATACAATAAGGAATATAGGATAATACCTAGGCTTATCATAACATCTGGTTTAAGTCCCAGTGTAGTGGCCATAAATAAAGGGTTCTTGATCTTGAAAATTCAGGATGGTTATATTAGAAGGTAACTTTGCTGAGAGAATATACCTTCAAAGAACCTACTGTTGATGTATCTAGCATCTCAACATGTATTTTTGGCACTTTAAAGGACTTTATGCTAAATTTCACTAAAAGTAAGAATCATCATACATGTGAGAGGGCAATCAAATGAAAATTAAACTGTATATAAATGAGGGATAGAGAGATGGATTGCAAGAGTACCATGGGAATCCTAGATTGAAAGGAAACTTTGTGGATGATAGCTGAAGATGTCACTCACATGCCCCTTGAAAGTTCAAAAATTGCATTGTGTACATCTACAACATATAACATTAAGTATTGAGCCTAACTTCATCTCACATGTGCTTCCACATCAACACATGTTATGCTGGTGAGTGAACAACAACGAATCCACTAATGAATTATATTTCAAGCTATGATGAAACAACTTTGTTCTCTTAGTCGCATCTTCTGATTGACAACATTAATCTTGTTAAATACATGATCCTGTTACTACAGTTAGGCGGTAGCTTTCTTATCTTTTCTATTTACTACATCGTTCTTTGTTTATCATATGGGTACTTCCCACCAATAAATGTACTAATGTCGATCCCTCAGGCGTGTAGGTCAGTTGGTAAAGGGGCGGAGTAATTTTGCTCAAATACACAACAAGGTTAAGTTTGAATCCTGCAGGAGGGTGGATTGACCCCCATCGCTAGCCTCAACACCTGAGTCATCTTTGAAACGGCTCCTGACTTGTGGTTCCTAGGGAGAGGTTTTGTGTAGGGCAGGTTGGTGTTGTCGGTAATCAACCTTTTGCTTAAATGTACTAATGCTGAAATCACAAATGTATAGTAAAGAATCCGAACAACTATTGATACACCTAATAGTTTAAAGATGCAACCAGAGTGTTTAATGATGCAGCCAGATTGTGAAATAAAAATATTTGCAATGCAACAAGATTCATTCACAGTGTTTAATGATGCAACCAGAGTGTGAAATAAAAATATTCAAAACCCTTGTGGTTTTGATTATACTAACGATTCATTAGGGTGATTTTGGAGCCGACTATGTTGTAGAATCTTCTGGGGTTTTTACAACACTTGATAAGGCTTCTACAAACAAGAAGATAAACCATGGATTTTAGTTAACTTAAAGTTTTAAGGAGGCATTTATGCACCCTTATGTTCATTTTTGTTGGCTTTAATATGCAGGGTGGCGCCAAGAGGTGGTGATCTCAGCTCCATCAGCTGATGCACCTGTGTTTGTTGTAGGAGTAAATGAGACCACATACAAGCCAAGCATGGATATTATATCCAATCCAAGCTGCACCATTATCTACTTGGCTCCTTTGGCTAAGGTACCATTCTTTTGAGTTCTTTTGCAATTGTCGGCCTCATTTTCAACTCATTCCTCTTTTCTAAAGAAAAAGAATCCAAGATTCACAGTATTATAATCAAAGGAGCATAATTGTTTTGACCAGTTTCCAACTAAAACATAATCTCATATATTTAATAAGTAGAGAAACAAGTATATTAGAGTTCAAGAAAAATTTGGCAATGGCAAATATCTGAAGCTAATGTTTAAGATTCGATAAAAGTGATATACAATGCAGGAATATTCAATAGGTTTATATGAAACCAACTTCATTCCATATTCACATATAAATTCATTATGTCAGGAAATTGGAGTAGTAATCATTAACGTAACAATAAAGGTTCCAATTTACTAACCCTTGACATGTGTTGAATCACTTGTTCTTGGACCGGAATGATACGCTCATTAGTTTGAACTGTTTGGGGGTTCACTACAAGATAATCAAGGTCTTCTTCATCTAGAACAACTGGATTTGCAGCAGTATTCTTGAACTTAGAGAAAGAATTCTTTATCATGATTCGTTCACTCCTTTTCCGGACTGATTCATAGAGATGTCACAACTTAGGGTTATATAAATACATTATACGAAATGCAGTTAACAAATTTCTTACATCTATTTCTGCAATGACTATACCCGGATGAATATCGTCTGCCATGTGTTCTTCTACGAAATCGATTTCCTTCAATGAATCTCTCTAATTGCAGAGTAATTATCGCAGACGTAATTTCATATAATCAATGCTTAGAATAGAATGAAGTTCCCAATTCCAAATTTACCCTTAATTTCCCTCACTTATCAGGCGCGTGAATGAGTTTTTAAATTTTATTACATTTTTGCCATCAAATGCATCTTGACCATAGATTAAAATTTGGATGGATGAGATGAGGGTTGTATTAGTTGTATGAATATCAAAGGTTGTAGAATAACCACCATGTATGTATGTATGTATGTATGTATGTATGTATGTATGTATGTATGTATGTATGTATGTATGTATGTATGTATGTATGTATGTATGTATGTATGTATNTGTATGTATGTATGTATGTATGTATGTATGTATGTATGTATGTATGTATGTATGTATGTATGTATGTATGTATGTATGTATGTATGTGTGTGTGTGTATGTGTGTGTATGTGTATGTATGTATGTATGTATGTATGTATGTATATATGTATGTATGTATGCATGTATGTATGTATGCATGCATGTATGCATGTATGTATGTACATACGTACGTACGTACATGCATGTATGTATGTATGCATGTATGCATGTATGTATGTACATACGTACGTTTGTATGTATGTATGTATAAAGAGAGGATGAGAGAGATTCAAGGAAAATCTCTAAAAAATGAAAGACCGAGGAACAAGTTCGTATTAGTTGGATTAATAGATCTAATGGTCATATTGTAAGGGCGGTTTTGTAAATAATTGGATGTTGAGGATTTTAATATATGCCATAATGCTACATTATGGGTAGTTTCTGTATTAAAAAACTATCAATTCCAACTCCTAATTCCCAACCATAATCATCGCGGTAGGCAATCATTGTCATTTGTGCGTTCTTATCTGTCTTAAGTTGCCATATGATTTTCAAGAAATCCAACTTAATCCTTTCTATCATCGATTTGAAAATGTTTATGTGCATATAGGATGTATAAACAAATATTGTGGACAATATCTTTATTCGTGATCGGATTATCCAATGGATGGCCTGTTTAACTAGGAGTGAATACAAGCAAAACCGAATTCAGATGTGGATACAGATTATGGGATAATATGCTTATTGTAAATTGTCATGTGCATATGGATAAATTGAATATAATTTATTTCTTTATTAATTCACATGTGCATTTACAGATGTTCATCCACTTATTTGAGTTCAAGTTTGGGGAAATGAAGCAATTTAAGTGCAACATTTTTATGATGCATGCATCAAGAACTTCCTTTTTATGTCCCAACAAAGAGGATCTTAATACATGGAGATCAAAATTAATTGTTTTATGTGGTAATCAAAATATGTTCGCTAACATTGAGAAAGGTGTTTTGGTGAGGACATGTCGTCAGACATTGGGAAGGTGTTTTTAATAAAGACATGAGTAGAACATATGTAAGGCATAGGTGTAAGGTGCCGAAATGTAGTAACGATCATGTGGGTGCCTAACTACCAATGAGATGACTCCAATGGCTACTCAACGACCATGGTGGAATGATGATTTTGAAACTCCAACCCAATTTTTCAATTGCCCTGATGTGCACAATTATCTCGTTGAGATTGACAAATCGGTTGGCAATGATTTGAAGCAAAAGGTCATTAATTCATTGCCAGATCTACCATATTCCTCCTTGGGCATGGCATAAAGATAGACAAGGTTGCTGATATTTCAACGATGTCTCATGAAGGTGATAAATCAAATGGGGTTGGAATATATGTTAAGTTGGGGAGGGATGATCCCCCACATATTGAGAAGAAGGGGAAATGGGTTGTAAAAGGGGCAACAATACTTTATCTACTGTTGTAAGGAGACAGGTTAGGGGCTATTTACTTTTGACTTAATGAGCTTAATAGCTTATTGATAAAGTTAATTAATTAACTTTATTTACATCACTTTTTCATCTTTTTACTTTGTTTAGTTTATCTCATTGAGTCTTTTTGTTCTTTATTTTACTTTTTACTAGTTTCTAGAGTTTGGTATAAGACTTGGTTTGGCATAAGTTTTGTGCATTGAATTGATCAAAATCTCTAGGGGGCGTTTGGTTCGTTGGAATCTGCCGTAATCTGATGGAATTGGAATGATCAAATTCCGTTGACCAAATCCCACTCCAACCTTTGGTTACCCATGGAATGGAATGGATTTCCAAACATTCTGTCATTTAAGGATTTTCTATTCCTTCATAAAAGTGATGGATTAAAATCCATCACATCTAAAAATGTGTAAATGACAAAAATACCTTCATGATCCTAGCCGTTCCTTTTTTCATTCTCATCGAATGCTTCCAAGAAAATCGACAACTTGTTTCATCTTCATCATCGATTGATTTACTGCTTAGGCCTCCCAGACTGGTACGATTTCTGCTTATCGAAGACAGGTACGATTTCTGCATACAATTTTCATCATCGATCGATTAGTTCTTACTTCGATTTCTACATATGATTTATTAAATCAATACTTGCCTTTGCAATGCCTGTACATAGTTTATAATCTCATGAAGCATAACAACTTTTGACACAGTTTTGAGTTTTTGGTCGAGTGTTTGACATAGTTTTGAGTTTTTGGTTCAGTTTTTGAGTGTTTTTATCAAGTTTTGAGGTAGTTAATTTTTGAGTTTTTGAATTTTTGCTCAAGTGTTGATTCATCTTAGTATACGTTCCCATCTTCCCGGATAACCACAAATTCTAAGAAAGCATAACTTTTTCTGAATATTTTAATCTTATTTCATTCAGCCATGTAATTTTGAGATTGAAATGAACATCTCTCTTAGGTTTAGCTCTAGTTCTCAAAAAGTCAACATTCATCTCCTTAAACTGAACTAATGCACCCAGAAGAATATCCATATAAGTCATCATAGATGATTCATAAGCTCTTTTAAATATAAACTTAGCCTAGTCTTCAAGAAATAGATCCTCTAAATCCACTTCAAATCTTCTTCTGATTCAACAACTGGTTGGCTAGGTTCAGGAACTTGGATCTCTATTTGTGAAGAACTAGAGATCTGACCCTTAACTTTTTCAAACTGAACGATCACTAGAATCTTGTCATATTCACAGAGAACTCATAAGGCATGTAAGCATATTTAGGCAAAATCTTTTTCTGATTTAACTTCTTCATCATTAAGTCTTTTAAGTACAAGATGACTTGAACAGATTTCCATCATTTCAAACAGTCACTTCAAAGTTGAACTTGAGTAGGTTGGAATTTTAGAGAGCTTCAATAACTTTATTATTCTTTCATTAAGTCTTTTGTTACTGTTTATGCATCATATTACTGCTTCATATTGTGGGAATGACTTTTATTAATAACATATATTTTTTTGGAACAGGAAATGGATCGACTTAGTTTAGCAACAACACGTAGACGTAAGAGCCATATATATACCTTCATATACTAGCATTACTATGAAGTGTTCAGACAACAGGTTGATCTTCAAAAGGCAGAAAACACATAAGAAAAATATTCATATTTTCCCCTTCTCCTTAATATACCGAGATCCCGCTGTTCCTGCAATGCACATTTTCAAAATACAAAAATGAGGGTTAGACCAAAAGGTTTAGTAAGAAAATATCTTCTTTGCAATTACAGGATGAAGATCACCAAATCGTGTTCAAAACATCTTTTGCGAATAGATAAATTAAATTTCAACAAAAGGATGCAAGTCTGCTTGTTACTCAAACTGTAAAACAAACAGATTCTCACAGCACATATACATTCCCTGAAATCTGCATCTCTTTACAGAACACAAAGTCACAAACTCATCTGGCTCAACGGGCCAGAGCTTCTCTGTCTCTTAAGAGCCATAGCTTTTCCTCTGTCTTTTAAGGAATACTGCTATTCTCATACACCAGTCCCTCTAGTCGACCAGAGCCTCTGCTCTTATCAACCAGAGCCTCTGTTCTCACCCCAAGATAACTAAGTCTAAATCCAAGACCAGAGCCTCTGATCTAATTTAGACCGATATTTGATTTTAAGGAAAGAAATATTAAAGCTGCAACCAGAGCTCCTCTGGTTCTTTACGCCATTTCTAAAAGTTATTAAAAGAATTTTGACATATATAAAAAAATATAAAAGATTAAGTTTTTAAAAGACAGAGCTCATATACAGAGCTAGGACACAGAGCTCAAATGCATACTGCGGACGTACCATCTCTATGATACAGAGCCTCTATGTAATACATAAAGAGCCTCTAGTTCATAAAATTCCCAAAAACACTTTGAAAGGTTTTCATACGACCACAAGTTCTCTGGTCTCTTTTAAGAGACCAACCAGAGCT